TGACCATTCGTCTTCCACATTGTTCGGCCAATTTCCATCCCATTGGGCAGTTGACTGGTGGTTTGTATCTTACACTGTTTCGTAGGATTGAATGACGAAGGCACACATGGAGAAAGAATAATTGCTCTCTGGTGGATCCTGGTCTTTTATCGAAGTCTTCCCAATTTCGAAGAGAGAGAAGCGTATCCCGATCGTAAGATTTAGATATCATAGAGAAGATTTGTAGCGCAGGTGGATGATTTTTTTCGATGTGGTTTTGTTCTCTGACCTGGATGGTTAGTTTGCGATGCTTTCATCACCCTACTGGGTGACATCTTCAGCGCATACTTCAATTTGAAGTGAGCTTTTAGATTTCTACACGAGTTTATTAATCATCCCTCCTGGTGACCTTGGACGTGATTGGTTGTTTATGTGTGTGTTCAAACTTTCTAGGTTACTCGTATTGGAACTAATTGCTTCTTCGACTTGAACTTTGACCCTTTGTGTGTGAAGTTTTTTCTTATTGGTTGATAAATTTTGTCTATCTCGATGTGTGTATTGATTGATGATTCACTGGAATGCCAAGCTTCTAAAAATTCTCTAGCATTCTTGTTATTTCCTCTGCCTAATATTTGAACGTTGTCCCAGTCGAATTGATGTCCGTGGTTGTCTGTGTGTAGTGAAATGAGGGAGTGGATATCATGTCTTTTGAGGGCTAGCTTATGTTCATGGATACGAAGACGAAGGGGAAGTCCACTTTGGCCAATGTAGTGTCTTTCGCAGTTGTTACAGTTTATTTTGTAGATGATGTTGGTTTTATCTACTTTCGCTGTTGAGTCTTTTGGTTGATATAGAATTGAGTGCAGCGACTTTGTTGGTTTGTGTACGACGTCAATTCCTAAAGGTTTGAAGAGTCTTGTAGTGATTTCTGAGATATCCTTTATATATGGTAAGGCGATTTCCTTTGTGCTTTCCTTGGTGGCTTTTGCTTTGGTAGGTTGGTTTGGGGGTATATGTCTCTTGATAAAATTCCGTGGATATCCATTCTTTTGGAAGACGTCCATGAGATACTTTTCTTCAATTTTCCTTAAGGTGGGAGTGCTGCAGTGAGTCCTTGCTCTCTTGAATAGTGTTTGTATGCAATTCCTTTTGTGTGTTATTTGGATTTTGCTGTTTATTTTAGAAGCTTGGCATTCCAGTGAATCATCAATCAATACACACATCGAGATAGACATAATTTATCAACCAATAAGAAAAAACTTCACACACAAAGTGTCAATGTTCCAGTCGAAGAAGCAGTTTGTTCCAATACGTGTAACCTAGAAAGTTTGAACACACACATAAACAACCAATCACGTCCAAGGTCAGCAGGAGGGATGATTAACAAACTCGTGTAGAAATCTAAAAGCTCACTTCAAATTGAAGTATGCGCTGAAGATGTCACCCAGTAGGGTGATGAAAGCATCGCAAACTAACCATCCAGGTCAGAGAACAAAACCACATCGAAAAAATCATCCACCTGCGGTACAATTTTTCTCTTTCCTATCTATGATATTTGGTTCTTCAACTTATAATATACACTGATGGTAATCTGTGCTTGTGGAATATCTTCAAATGGGCAAGTTTTACTCTCGACATCAATGACTGCCAATAACAGAATGACATCTAATTATCCCATGAGATTCACGAACGTAGCTCGGTGTTGTGTTGCGCTGTATTCAATTCATTTTCGTGACCTTAGAAGGTTACGGTTGCAATTCTAAACGGACAGTGTTTTCCAGAATTTCCTGGATTCAGGTTTGCTCCGGGACGAGCGAACGTGCTCATGTGGTGGTATCATGACTCTACAAACTATATCAGATCAAATGATGGATTTGTTCATCGTTGTGCTATGTTTGAACCTGGCTAACATTAGAGAGGGTAAGCTGAAATTTTTAATATTTGGTAGAGACTTTATTCGCTAGGTTGCATCTCTCCCCAACCCAGAGTTTGTACATCTGCAACTACTGGGTGTTGAAGCAGCAGGTGAGAGCAGCAGCTGCAGAGACGGAGAATAGCCTCGTCTCAACTGTTCAGTGGTACCAGCATTGAAGAGATATTGCTTCGTGGAAAATAGAGAAAATCACTTGTTTCCTGGGTTGATCCCGTTACGACGACTCATACAAATTCCACTGAAGGGTTTTTAGGCCGCTTGAAAAACAGGATAAGGTCTATAAATGGATCTCAGAAGGATATCATTTATAGTCATTTAGATGAATATATCTACAAGATGTGGTGCTACTTCTCCGTTGACAGTCCCATGCTCAGATACCGCTTTTAACCGTTTTATCCCTTTTTATGTTTTTTTCTATAGTATACGTTTCTATTTACCATAAATGCCCTTTTTAATGTGATTGATTTGTTCAAGGTCGTTTGCTGATTGGTTGTTAGTGTTGTCGAATGTTTAAATTTGCCCTTCAAAGCTTTTTCAACTTGAGACCGCCTTCTGAAATCTCCAAATTTAACATGCTCTTCAAAAACCTTGCTAATATCAACCCTGATCGTATTCTCCTCACTAGATTGACTCGTAGATTGCTGCATGCTGTAAACATGATTGTGAAAGACATTGTATTTTCCCGATTTCTACATACTAAGTAACAAATTGAGCCAGGAACGAAAACGGCAACCAGCACATGAACTAAAAACAACAGCTTTTGTCAACTAAACATGTTCACATACATAATTTTCAAAACTTCTACTCAGCACTACTTCAGTAATAGCTGAAGGACAACTGAAAAACTGAAACCACGCAGGAATGCAGGGTGTGAAACAATTATAATGAAATGAATGCACTGACCTGGTGGTAATAACTTCTGAAACATACGATATTAGTAATTTTAACAGCAACGGAAACAAAAATGAGGTGGAACGCAACATTTGTGAACAATGCACATCAAGATGAGTTGTGAATAAATGCAGGATAAACAGGAAAGCCGATGTGTAAACGAACGGCTACGGAAATGCAATCCAACATGGCCGACTAACATAGATGAAAATGACCTTTGACCGCCTCACTCCGTCAAAGGCCTTGAGCATGCTAAATAATTTCAGTCGATAATTTCAGTCAATTTTTTCATTTTCTGTGGATGGAATAACAGTTTAGTCGAGACTGCATATATATATGACTTTCTAGATGAGAGGTGATGCATTCATTGAGAAAGACAATTGAAAATTCAATTTCCAATAAGTGAAATTTGAATAGCACCGGTACTGCCCTACTTTCAAACAGAAATGTATGTGGTTGCTCATAATTTCGGCAAGCATCCAACTTCGAAACGCTAAAGATATTTGAAGCAGGTAGTAAGTGGGTGTCACTATTAGTGTGACAGTTGGCTGTCTCGCTGACACTCAGAGCAGAAAACGTCTGTGTGACAATGATCGTCAGAATGGCACACCATCTGACCTTTAGGAAACTTAAAGCTTGCGGGCATATAAAGATAAAAATGAAGCTCATTGACGTCAGCAGTTTACTTTCACTCATTAGGTTCTGGGCTCGAGTGCCAATGCCCTTCAGTCTGGGAGACTGAGTACCCAGCTAGCATTTTTTTCGGGCGCATTGCAGACTTTTCGGCTGACTTTGGGCAAATTGCAGACTTTTTGGGGGCAAAGTTTGGGCTAATTGCAGACTTTTTGGGGCAGACTTAGGGCACTTGCAGATTCCGAGGAAAACTTATGGCGCATAGCAGACATTTCGGGGCAACCTGATGAGCGGTTATTGGCTACAAATCAACCAATGGGAGTAACCCTGATGTACTTCCTCAACCAATGACGGTTAACTTTTGATAACTGCGTTACAATGAGTCTTAATTAGTGATTAATAATACATCATTTAAAATAATAAACTCCTTTAATATAAACAATCAATTAAATGTACTTTTACTATCTGAATACATCACCAAAGGCCCCTCCCTGAGAAATCTTTTACTGCACTGGAATCCTTCGACGCGGCCGAACCCACCATCTTTATTTCCATTGCTGTGAGTTGTCGGCCTGTTGGTCACCCTTATTTTTTACGAAGTTTTCCAAGTAATTACTTGCGTAGTTATACGTTTTATATTGCAACTATAACAGTATTGGCTGTTTTTATTATTAGGCATAGCGTATAAGTTGTGTAGATTGCAAGAATCCGTTATAGTGCGAACAGCTTGCACACCGTGCGGCTCGTGAAAGAATCCTGGTCACTAGGCTCTAGCTAAATGATTGAGGGTATCCATGCACGATCTTGCTCTTTGAAAGTGATACTTTTTGATTATTAATAGAAAAGAAATTATTGTTTTGGATATGAAGGTGAAGGTTCAACTGTATGTTCCAGCTTGCTCCCGCTGTCTGCAGACAAATAGACACTGCACTGTTTGGTCAAAAATGTGGTGGAAATTTGTCATAATTTATTTGGATCTATTTTGTGCTCACTTTATAACTAGGTGGGTGTGTATGGGGCTTCCAAGTGTTGTTTTCACTTTGGTGCTTAACCATGTAGAGTGGTGACGTTTGCAGGGTTTGGAGACTCCTTATTGTACATTATTTGAGGTAGTCAGCTCCATAGGAACATTTGAACTTACATATACACACATTCGATGATTGCGTGTAGGATATTCTATTTCGTCGACTTCTCCGAATTCGCAACAGAAAACAGTCCTGCTTCACATATATTCCAAACAGTCGCCTTGTAAATTATAATTATATTTCAATGGTTTACACACAATGATAAGTTTTGTTATTTGATTCATTTTACTGACATTAAGTCATCTTGCAGTTCTGTGACTACGAACTTGCTTCATTGAATAAAATCACACATCGTTTCTGTGGGTATTGCGATTAGTGATTCTGGTCTCATTGTTTCACTCATGTGCTTCCTGATAAGCTGGTCAGTCAGGAGAGAAATGTTTCTGTGGTACTTCTTATATAAACCTCTTGTAATTGGCCTACTTCTAATACTTTTAATTTTGATTATTGGATTTTCAGTGCCCTAGAATTAAATACACATGGCTGCTGATAAGACTGATTCATATGAATGGACCTGGGAATCGGAAATTCAACTTTTCCGAGGATTAATGAAGCACAAACCCGTCGGCGTATTTCGCCACTTCCACATGATATGTTTGTGGAATTATGTGAATTCAGTTCTTCGTACACCAGTCACCCCTGATGCTATTTGGAAAAAGCTGGATACACTATACAATATGGAAGGGCTGGTAATTTCTATTTCTTGAAATATTGTAACGTTTCTGTGAAGCATGCTTCTGAAGTCGATTCTTTTCAAGGTGAAATGCAAGAATTCAGTCTACCCGAAGAATTCGATTCCTTGAAAGGATTGAAGTTTCCACGAGTTAATCACGGAAGCGATACAGCTACACTCAAATCTTCAGTTCAAGGTAAGCTAGCAGCCCATTATCACAACTTACAATCCAGTTATAATTTTTGTATTTATGTGACAAAACGTCACACGGAATGTGGCGACTTGAACTTCCGCACATTTGTGCAAAGTTCTATGTCGAAAACAGACAGACAGACAACTATTCTTCAAGGGATATAAGTATAAACGTATATATATATATAACGTAGGAAGATGTGAATTTTCAAGAATGTGTTATCTTGGGTGAATTTCGTAGACTAGGAGACAGTTTTGATCGGATATACGAATAAAACCTGCGAACTGTGGCAGAGCGTGATTCCACTATGCATAAATTTTGCTTCAATGAAGTCCCACAGTGTTATACAGTAATGTTTACTAATGAGGGTTCCAGGTCATGCGTAGTCAGATTGTCAGAACATAAGAATTTAGCTAAGGTAAGAATGGTTGACCCCGAGAAGACAAGTAATTTAGAAAAAGGCTCAGCAATTGCAATGCATGCATTAACACACAACCACACAGTAGCATGGTGGGAGGGTTAGGGTTAAAATTCTGAAAAGTAATCTAGGTAGGTGGAGAGAGAGGTTGATTACTGAATCCTGACTAGTTCATCGAGTCTACACCCAACACATGCAATAGGAATGATTCACCACTCATACCCGAAATATGGAAGTACTACTACCAATCAAATCAAGTGAAAAATAATGGAACTATGTAAATGAAGTTAGGAAGTCGTGTGATTACCTTGGTATGATTAGCAGTTATGATTGGAATATATGCAAGACTTCGCAGAAGGCACAACAGCATTTTGATCTCTCTATGAAATCAGTTAAGGGACTGATCATGAATACTAGGGAGAGGCACTTCTTATGAATACTGTGATGGTTTTGCATTTCCTTGTAAATTGGTCACTGTCGCCTTTCCTATGTAATTGATACTAAATCCGAGAAATGAGGTCGTGAGGTGCATTCCAAGTGTGTGTGTGTGCTTATTTAAGCCTAAGTTGGTGTGAATTGCAACTAAAAGGATGACCCACTAATTTGTGTAGTTGGATGTTTTGAGGAGAATCACAATTGGATGGATCTTGAGGTCATAGCAGCATGAAATGTTGTCTCATTGAAGCCACAAACTTACGATGCAGATTTAGGCGAAAAGGTCGCCAATTCCAATAGTGTGCAAGTGCCGCAGAAGACTTCAGTCTGACAACTTAGCTCTACCTCACAATCGGTTGTCTATTTTTACTAGATATACCCATGAGACGAAAACTCGTTGTAATTTGAGGCATTTTCTATACTCTGTTGATGTATGCAAATTATTTTCGTGTGAAGTCATACTTCATCTGTGATTTTTCTATGTAGATACTTCTAATCAAAAACGAACAAGAAAGTCGGTACGCTGGGCTGACATTCTTGTAACTTCATATGATTTGGTTCAAACACCGACCACTTCAGCAGTCACTACCGATGCAGGTGTTGGCAGTTCTTCACGCAAAAGGCGGCGCTGACATTTTGTGTATGCTGGTCGCGAATACAAACATCTTTGTTGTACCTCATGCATTCAGCATTTTTCAATATATTTGTGTCATACTCAAGTGTTGATTTTTGATTGTTATGCTGCTAAATGCGCAATTTTATGCAGCACTTGTTGTGATTCTTTTGCTAGGAGGTGGAATAATTAAGTATGTTGAATATTTCACTTAATTTGGGGACTTGCATCAGCTCAACTGAAGTGATCACCTAGGAAATCTCAGGATAGATTCAGAATGCATACCTGGTATTTACCAAGTCTCTAGATGTTTGTAGCGCCAATCTGTTTAAATGCCCTTTCCACAGTTATTCCAAGGTGCTTTGCAAATTAAATTATTTTGTGTAGTCAGATCAACTTACAGAGTCCTTCAACCTGCAGAGCTTCCAGTATCTGAGTGAGTTTGTGGAATTAAATGCCACCCTAATCCCCGCTTTCTTAGGAATCCTACATAGGCTGTCAGATGTCTCCTTCTAACATGGTACAACTATAGATTCCTTATATTCTTTCTTATCTATGTTATCATTATTAGTTCGGAACACTCTCGGTGAATTTGTAAGTCAATAACTGAGACTCCCCAAATCCACTGCCAAGACGAATTGGTCTCAGTTGAGTCCCAGCTTCGCGTCACGCAAGTGCTGCATTGCCAGCTGTCTGTCCGTCGGATTCCGCCAACAGTCAGATCGTGATGACTATCAATTCGGTGGCAGCACCGAAGTGCCACAAGAAGCTCCTTATAGCTGGTTCTTGGAAAGGAGTAGGAAGCGAAACCAAATGTAACGGTAGAAGGCGAGATACTTGGTAATGGTGTGTTTTTTAGGAAATTTATGTACACATATGGGGGGATTATGCACACCAGGTTATGTGAAAATCGTCATTTGGTGTTCAGTGTTGTGCCATTTCTTCCCCTTTTGTGTCGTTTTCGGTCTTCTGTTCGAGTCTTCCATGCACTGACTCCGTACTGGTTCATTTCCTCTCTTTTTGATGTCAAGTCTGTCTCTCGGCTATTTGATATTTTTGTGCAGATGGACGTTTCTTAATCTACTACCGATAAGGCTTGTCAGTAGCACACACCACACTACTTTTACTACTACTGTGGTGAGAGCTGGGTGTTAGTCAAAATTGGTCGACACTGATTTACGTCAATGTGTATGTTCCCGATATTGGTAGTGAGAAAAATGTGAACAAAGGCTTTCCGTAGGCGGGTACAGTTAACATATAGATGATCTGAGATTCACAAAGAGATGCAAGGTTAGCTTTCTGTGAGAAGCAACCAATCAGAAGACTGTGTTTTTCTACTAACAATAATCTATCATAATGTACATGAAAATCTATAAATGTGTTGATTTCCATAATAAAGGATCTGTTGCCTGGCACTTGTGTTCTGTTTTTACACTAATACTACTACTACCAGTTGTTGGTAAAACTAGCTGAAATCACTTTAGATGTAATGGTTTTTCATTGAAACTTAAGCGAAAACCTGGTTTATGATAAATAGATAGATACAGTCGACGAGTGGAACGGAAGCTCCTTTGAACGGTCACTGAGAGACTGTGGATTTCTGTTTTACACCAGTCCACTTCTTAAAGTGAACTTTGTTCATCACACACATTAAGTTGCTACTAATAATAGAGTGGAAAACTGCATGGAAACAATTTGCGATGAAGCTAAATAGGAATAAATTACTTTTATACCATTATTCCTTTGGCTTCCAAGTAGAAACTAGAGGGCTCCAATAGAACATCTGCATTCCATCCTCTTCTACTCAGTTCTCACCAGCCGGAATCACGATTCCCCATAGTGTCACATCTCCTGTCCACACGATCTCCTCCATGTGACCATCAGACGTAAGCGCAGCTCGTCGTTTCCCATCCGTCGAATTCCACAACAACCATGGTGCGGCGTGCGATTTCATTCGATGGTCTACTTAGTGTGTGTTCGACCCATATCCTTTGGAGTATTCGCTGGTTGGGCAATAGGTTCTTGGTTGGTTCATTCCAAGAAATTTTTCTCGCTTATGCTTCACACTGGCCATGTGATCTTGCGTGAGGAGCTGGCGAAGACACTTATTGATAGATGTCTGCAGCCGGCTGGTGGAAGTGCTCTTCGTGATGCACACACCGAGTGTTTGACTGATATAGAAGGACTGACTGACCTAATATTGGCGTTAAAATCCATTGCTGTTGTGTATGCTGTGGAGTGTAGAAAATTTTCAAACTGATTTTAGAGTGATGGAGGTCTGTCTCGTCTTTTCGATTCTGGTTTTGACTTCCCCATTTGTGGTGTATGTCTGTAGTGGAAACGACGGGGACTAGATAAAGGAGGAAGTATTCCCGTTCTCATTTCCTGCGTTGATAGTGATGACTGCTTGTTGTTGGTGTTGTTGTTGATTGTCGAGCGTCTTCATCACCTCCATGTTCGCTTGAGTTCCAGTCCCTGCTGACGTCCTTTCCTTCTAACTCGGTGGATTTTACCCGTCAGTCTTCGAGTCTGTGTGATATTGTAATAGACATAAGTCGTTCTCGTAGTCCATATCTTCTAGAGTCTTCTTATTGGTCCAACGTATTCCTGTCTTCTCACTCCTCAAGCACAGTCTGCCGTTGATGATAGCAGGCAGCCTTGCCTTACTTCTTCCTCTCTTCACCTCCAAGACTTCTGTGAGTTTACGGTTTGTTTATCATTTGACTGACACGTGGCATTTGGAGTACTTAGTGTTCATTTCACCCTTCTTCAATGTACATCAAGGTATCTTGTTGAAGTTTATCAACAGTGTTGTAGTTTTTCTCTCACTAGTCATCATATAGACACGTGCACACAGGTATGAAGTACGCTTCTAAAAACCTGAGCGGCTTTTGAGATTTAGTTTAGACATTCCATCAATATGGTCCATTAGAGACTAGATAAGATTCCGTATTCCTTGACACAGTATCTCTCACACAGACAGACATACGATGGTTTAACTAGTCGAGTGAAATGAATAAACTTGATTATCTCGAGAAGGAGAAATTTGATAATGTCTATCTACACCTTGAACAACTGAAAGTGGTGGGGCAGTATTCAAACAAGATAAAAGTTGCACTTTATTTACTGAAACTTGCAGTTTTCGCATTTTTGAACTGAAAAAGTCCGTGTTTACTGTGAGTGGCTCGCTGATGTACCTGACCTCAAGTGGACTTTTTTTCATTTTCTGTGGATGGAATAACAGTTTAGTCGAGGCTGCATATACATATGTTTTTAGCTAAGAGAGGATGCATTCATTGAGAAAGATAACTGAAAATCCAATTTTCAATAAGTGAAATTTGAATGTTGCTTTTATAATTTGAAAGTATGAATTTTAAGCCTGAGTCTTGTTGTGAACCTTATAATGTATGTCACTGTTATTTCCTTTCAATAGTGACATCAACGCAGAGAGAAAGTTGAACTTTTAGATGAAACAACCATTGAACAACGATAGTTGTCGTACCGCAGTTATTCGTCAATTTCTGATGAGGAGGGTGACTGGGATAAATGAGGATGATGATTAGGTGTGTTTCGTGCGGTTTCGGAAGTGTGTAAGCGGTTGTTTCTTCTCGCCTGTCCACACCGTGGAAGTTGATTTATTCTTGGGTTACACTTGAAACAGAAAGAGACTTAGTGATGCGTGACCGGAGAGGCCAGGGGACAGCTGCTTGAAGCTGGCCGGTCACGCACGACCTGTCTGAAGTGGCTTTTTGATGTGGTTCCGCATTAGTAGCTTACAAACGGCTACGGACCACCGTACTGTGAGTCGGGATGTTAAGTTTCTGAAGCCAACCTTTTCTAACCTCTTCTCCCCAGAATGTGTGTCGATGGCATAGTGGTTAGGACTCTCGCCGACTATTCACATGGTACGAGGTTCAATCCCCTGCCGACGCACACCTGATGTCTATGGTCAGCCTGCGAAATCTGGGCTACCGATATCCATGCTGAAAATTCTACACTTGTACCAAAAATACAGTGCGGAATCAAGCTGTAATAAAAAAAAAATAAATAAAAATGAAGGGAGACAAGTCTTCCTGTGATAATCACAGAGGGATTAGCTTGACTAATATAGTATCTAAAGTCCTAGGCTCAATAACATTGCGTAGACTAAGTGGTGCTCGGGAGGCACAAACACGAAAGAACCAGGCAGGCTTTAGACCAGGAAGAGGGTGTATTGATCATATATTCACCCTTCGATAGATTCTAGAACATGGTCATTCCTATCGGCGTCCAACAATCATTATATTTCTTGACCTGAATGCGGAATTCGATTCTGTCGACCGAGAGGTACTCTGGCTATGCTTGGCTGTGAAGGGAATTCCGAGAAAATATATTGCACTGATCAAGGCATTCACTCTACTTGAACTCATGCAGCCAGATGAAAGCTTACGGCGAGGTGTCAACTGAAGTGGTAACGACTAGCGGTGTCCGTCAGGGATGCCCACTATCCCCGTTTCTATTCAATTTCATCACAGATGTTTTAGAGGCTGGCGGTATTGACGCTCACGAGTTGTACGGAGTTTACTAACGCAAGATCTTATACCAACAACTTCTATAGTATTCGTTTCTCGTGGACCAAAGGCAAAGCAAAAGACAGTATTTGATAGTCCAAACTACGAGTTATATTTTGGGACCAAATCGTGGACTGAAGCGGAAGCTAAGCTGGCTAGTGATCCTGCACGAACGTGACACGACGGAGTACCAAATGGCGAGGATGCTTGACCGGAAGCTTTCAGCTAAACAAGTCGACTTAATCAATAAGGGTCAGCATCCAATGTTCAGTGATGATGGGTGTGGTCAATAATTTTGGGGAAGTATTTACCGCTACAGCTCACTCCCCCTAAGACAGAACCAACCGGAAGTAAAAACCTCGGTGGTTCCCTTAAGGGTGAAAAAAACTCTTCCGAGCGGCTTTGTGGAGTGCCTACTGGTCTGTCTGTACATCGCTTCCTTGATGTCGTTCGTTGGATCTCGTGCTTC